TCAAGAAAATTGGTGGCAGAAAAGTGATTTGGGTTGGAACATCCAAAAGATGTCAGATCCTGTTGTGTCTAACCTGGTTCTGAAAGGAAAAACTAGAACATCCCTTAGGTTCTTGATGCTATTAGCATATCTTATTAATGAAAGTGAAGACCTGCTGCCTCTTAAACGGGCCACAAAAGGCAATAGTAGTAGAAAGAGATGATGTATCCCCCACCCCCAGGCTTCCCTGTGGGCTGGTCTGACCCAGGCTGGGTCCCCAGGAGAGCTGTGCACAGGCCAAAAAAGCACCAAGATGGAAAATGAGCAAGAGCCATGATTCCCATTGCACTTGTCAGCAGGTGGGTCTGTTCTGGGACTGCAACCCACTTAAAGTACCTGAAAACTTCCTGAGACCCAGTTGAAATAGGTGAACACTCAGGTCACCTTGGAGGAAGTGGCCTTCCTAACAAGTTCTTCCCTTTTTGGAGCATCTGGTCTTTTGATCTTTGTTCCAGTTGTCCTGCGTTCTGAGGCTCTGTAGTGATAGAGTTAGGTCAGAAAAGGGAAGCAAGAACTCCATACCCCATAACAACTCTCATAGCTGTTTTTGATTTTATTGTTTTCAAAACACTTCTCACAGAGTTTCATTGTATTGTCAGAGGGATATTGTAATTTTTATTCTTGTTTTTGTGTGGGGTTTTGAGCGGCTGTGGGGGGTGGGGGGTTTGGCGGCTGGCTGGTACAGGGATCCAAACCCTAGACATTGGTGTTAGCACCATGCTCCAGTCAACTGAACTAACTGGCCAGCCCTATTCCTGTTTTACATAGAAGAAGAAAATAAGACACAAAAAATTAAAGATCTTACCCAAAGTCACACAAACAGTAAATGTCAAAGCCACTCTCATCCTCGGCATCTCTTCTGTCTCGGCAGTGGGGGAGCCCATGCCCAGTGGAAGTTTTGTTCATGGTCAGCTCTTGGCAGTAAACCAAGGCCAGCACAAGGATCCTGTTAGTAGCTGCAGATGGCTGTAAATGGGGAATAAAGTCACCAGACCTGTCTTGATGGCCTTTGTCTGGGTTGCCCTTGAGAATTCAATTGCATCCTGCACATGTTCCCCTCGTTGCTGAAGGCCTTCCCCAAGCCTGAACTCTGCCTGCACCTGCCTGTTTAGGGCCCAGCTGGGCTTCACTCTTGATAGTCTCAAGGTCAGCTGGACCCAGCACAGCTTCTGGAAACCTGCAAGGCCTTTATTCATGCTCAGTGAACATGTAATTTAAGTATCACTTCCTCTTCTTTAAAGGAAAGTCAGGAAGAAAGACCACAAATGCTCGAAGCTGCATACTTCCTCCTACTTCCTTCCACCTGATCTCCCAGACAAGAGCTGGGAGATCTTTATTGAAATACACCTGAAATTCCTCATGCACCCATGGGCGAATGACAGCACAGCACAGCACAATCTCATGCAGAGGTTTACCCCTTTTTTCTGCTGGCACTTCTAGGGGACAGAGCACATTGTTGTCAAAACACTGATTCCCATGGTAGCGAGCCTCACCCAGGGCCAGTGGGGCTGGGCTAGAAGGATGATTGATTGTAGTGAGAAAAAGCCTCTTGGTCCATTTTGTTTACTAGCCCCCACTTGAGAATCACAGGTCTGTTGTAGATGGGAACTGAATTTGTTCTGTTTGTGTCTACACTTCCCCAGTCTCCCCCATTTTCTTTCTTTAGCAAAAGGGGTCCTGCTTTCTTGGCCAGGGAATCTGAAGTTCAAATTTAACTGGACGTCCTGTATTTTTACTTGCTAAATCTGACAACTCTGACCCTGAGGGCATGTATCAAACCTAAGAACAGGCTGTGTCATTGTGTTTCCAGCCATCTGGCATCATCAGTGCTTTTGACACAGCAGCACAGTTCCTGATCCAGACCAGGTGATGGTTACTAGTTGCTGATAACATGCCTGGAGACTTGGACTATCTACAGTCCTCAGGACTCTGGTGGAAGGAAGCTGGCTTCCTAAACTGATGGCGAAAGCATTGGCTACCATTTTATTGAGCACCTGCTCTGTGCCAGGCATTATGTATACCTATTTCATTTAATCCTCACAAAAGCCCTTCAGAGTAGAGACACTTAGCCTTTTTTAAAAAATAGATTAGGAAACAGAATTGGCAAGGTTATGTGGCTTACCCAGAGTCACACAGCCAGGAAATGACAAAATTCAAACTCAAAGCCCTCTGGCGTCTGAGTCTGTACCTTTCTGACCAGCACTCTGCAGTAAGGGCTAGGGTTAGTGGCCGCAGACTTGGCTGGAAAGCAGGTGGAATGGACCGCACTTCACAGGGTGCTGCTGGGAGGGAAAGGAGGCCCTGAACTGAGCAAAGAAACACAGGTTCCTGAACCTGGTAACATTCTCGTTATAAACATAACGACCTTGTAATGACAGATGCACATTTTCCACAGCTCAACAAAAGAAAAATTAGAGCAGAGATTCAATTATGTCTCCCATTTTCAATGGCAGTTTTGCTCTCTCGGTAGATTAATTAGCAGCGGAGATCTCCTCCCCCCAGGCAAATCGCAGCACACTTTATGGCCAGAAGGTGCATTAAAATGCAGCTGTGTCTCATTAAGCAGCCAGCCTCGCTCCCTGCAAGTGAGCTTGCCTACTTCTGTCTGTGCGTCCTTGCCATCATGCCAAAGGAGGGAGGGCCAAGGAAACCTTGTTTGCTGAACCTGCCTCCAAGATTAGGGAGCAAAATGCCACCCTTTTAAGGGGACCCTATATGTGGACCACAAAGGCCCTTAATCTCATTCCCTTAGAGGAATTTAGGGAAAGTCCTCTCCTGTCATCTTAGCAGAAGCAACCTGGCCCCCAACTGGATGGAGGACGCCAAGGAGAAGAGAGAAGGATGAGGAGAAGGAAAGAGCTAAAAGCAATAAATAGCCTCTAAAGTGTGTGTTTTATGTACTTCAGCTCACGTCACCTTCACTGCAGCCCTATGGGTTGTTTTATTATCTTATTCCCCTTGCAGATGCACATTTTTCATGTTGGGGTTTATATATGCAGGATGCATACCTCTCTCTAAGGCTAGGAAATAATGGCATCATCATGTGTCTCTGAGGAAAACTGAGACTCAGATGTTCAGTCCTTGACCAACATTGCCCAGTTAATGTGTAACTGAGCTAGGATTTGAACCTGTGCTTGGCTAAGCTCTGTTCTTTCTTCTTCCCTTAAGGTCTTGTTACAAAATTGCAACATTTTCCTGCCACCAAGCCCTAATGTACCTTCCCTTTGATAAATTGTTGCAGTCTCCTTTGCATTTTATTTTCATTCAGGTCTGAAGCAGAAACATCCTTGTTTAGATAAAATGTGAGTGGTTTGGATGTTACTGAAAGTCATGGGCAGTCACTCTGAGCATCAGCTATGTTACCTGTTTGCATTTGCTGCAACCCAGTTTATACCCAGGGGTGAGGGTACAGTGCAGGGGAGACACTTTCTCCTACTGGATTCCGCTGACTTTTTTTTTCCATCTTCTTCCAGGTACATTGAACGGAAAGCATTTCTAGACCGAGTGGATCACAGACAGTTTGAAATTGAACGAGATCTCAGGCTGAGCAAAATGAAACCTTGACATTATGGGGAATGTCAATAGCAGCTTAATCCTGTTTACAATGTGAGCTTTTTGTGCATCTGTGAAGTATTTCCAGTGTTTCTCACCAACTGTTTCCCAGCAAGGTCTTTTTTCCTACAACGAAGTTCTGTGTATCTTGATTTCACATGGTTTCATTCATTTTACTTTTAAAAGTTTGTCCTTAAATAAATAAGTAAAATAAAAGTTGGTCCTATGAGAGGCTGGTGGAGATGATGGGTTCCCAAACCTTCCCTTTATTCTGCTGCAGAGTCCTGCCCAGGCCAGGCCAGCACGTTCCAGGCCTGTCCAGGCTGGCAAAGGTCCTGTCATCCTTGGCCCGGATACCTAAGGAAGGAGGCTGACTAGCATGTGTGGAATGCCAGGTCCCTAAGCAGTTTGTTCTCAGTTCTGCTCGGGCTTCTCTCCTGACCTCTTCTGTCTCCTGAAGGGGATTCCTGCTGATACCATGTAAGGCTGAAAATAAGGACATATTATTACTGATTAGGGATTTTTTTCTCTTCAGCATTCCTCTTCCCAAAGAAAAGTCAACTTCAGATGTGTTCTCACCTCAATAATTCTTTAATTTTTGGTCTGTCAAAGAATATTCTTTTTTTTTTTTTTTTGTCCTTTTTGAGACCGGCCGCACTGCGCTCAGCCAGTGAGCGCACCGGCCATCCCTATATAGGATCCGAACCCGCAGCGGGAGCGCTGCTGCGCTCCCAGCACCACATTCTCCCGAGTGCGCCACGGGCTCGGCCCTGTCAAAGAATATTTTAAAGGACTCTTTCTTTTTTACATTCCTTGAGAAAATTTAAATTCCAGACTTCCTGATTAGAGTCAGATGTTCCCTACGGAGAAACAAGCAAGAGAGTAACGAACAAACCTTTGGTGAAGAGAGAAGTGGGGGTAGAGACCATTTATGTTAATAAAGCATTGAGCCCCACAACCTGCTCCTGGGGTATGTATGGGGATGGGGGCGGTGTGTGTGTGTTGCCCAAGAAATGAACAGGTTTTGGTGAAGGTAGCATTCCAAAGACTG